CAAATGGTGGGTTCCCCCAGTAAAATTCTATTAATGGGGTCTTGGGAAGGTATTGTGTACGCAGAACTTACCCCTACCCCGAAATAGTAGAGAGGCTATTTCCTAAAGACCCTCGGCTCAAGAGAAAAAGGACAAAAGGACAAAAGGAGACAATATTAGTATTACCACGGAAATCATAAAAAATATAGGAACAACATGAAATATGATGTTTTAAAAAGAATAATCTATCTGGTTATCTTAATTTCCTTGGAAGAAAGTAGTAGTGAATGATCTACTTTTTTGGGGATCCATGCAAACTTAGAAAATCATATAAAGATACACACACACTCACACACACGCATATATATATATATATATATATATATATATATATATATATATATATATATATATATATATATATATATATATATATATATTAGCTGAGAATATATTTTAGACGTTAATAATTTTACTATAGGTCTTATGCTTTTTAGAGTGATTTAGCCTTTGGGAAATCTATACATTCAAAAATTACATAAAACTTCTAATACTTTTTATTTGCACTTGCATAATATTGACATGTAAAGTCGTAAGTAAAGATTCGCATATCCGACCTCCACTTATTTGGAACTGAGACAGAGCTGTTATTGTAGGGTAGTTATTAATCTATATTAATCATTGATAACATCTAAGATCTAACATTAACTTTTTGCTACATATGGCTAATACCAAAGATAAAATGGCACCAGGTGATAATACATAATAGGAATTGGTAATTTTTTCCTTGTACTTCTTATTCTATCTCTTCTCTTTCTCTCTCATAGTTTAGCAAAAATTCTTGCAAATTATGCAAAAAAATCAGTGGGATGAAAAGGTAAGGTTGATTAAGAGAGAAAATACATTTCAACTTTATTTTTCTTCTCTCTCCTTTTTTCATGTTGGATTAAAACAAGTGAGTGTGGTTGGAATTGGTTGAAAATACCTAAACAAGGCTATATACAATATTTGAGCAAGATTAGAAGTAATTTAGACTGGTTTAAAGTAAAAAATCAAACCTAAAAACCCAACTGTGACATGTGTATATCACGTTGTATAGCGTATATATCAGTGTACATCACACACAGGTTTTTAAGGACGTTTGTGTTTGTATATCGTGTATACAACACAATTTTTTTGGACGTCTGTGTATATCACTTTCTATATCGTGTATACAATACAATTTTTGTATGGACGCCCGTGTATATCACATTGTATATCGTATATCTAACATAAATTGTCATAGATCTACACAGATACACATGAGATATTACTGATATACATAGAGATATACACGGGATACAATAGGGGATACATATGTGGAGTCGTCTTGAACTTGAGTTTTCAATCTGAAATGTGTTATACAAAGAAGGAAAATAAAATTCTAATATACTTTTGATATACACATTATTATTATGTTATACAATGTGATATACAAATAATATAATTATTATTGTGTTATATATATTTGGATATACAAATAAAAAAAACTAAAAAAAATAATTAAAAAATATTTGGGAGTTTTTTCGGATACTACTGAAGGAAATGGAACCTAATTTCTAGGATGATGGTCGCTATGAGAGAAGAGAGAGAAGGTTTTAAATATTTTTTGCTATTTTTAAGGAAGATAATTTTGATGGGGCTTATTTTTAGGATGGTGGTTGAACCATTAGAAGAGATAGAATAACTTTAGGCTACCATATGTAGTTGTCATGCCATGCCAAATCCCCACTACCAAAAGGGATTTTTACATACCTATACACTATTGAAAACTTTATTACCCTCCCTACTCAAGTTTTAATTTAATTACCTTCTATATACAAATTTACCAATTATATACACTTTAGGAATTAATGAGTATCCCTTTATATTAGGAATCAATTATTTCACATTCTTATTTCCCCCCCACCCCCCTCTCTCTCTCATANCACATTCGCAGTCAATCTATCTCTCTCTCTCTCTCTCTCTCTCTCTCTCTATATATATATATATATATATATATATATATATATATATATATCAATCCCTAATTCCATTAATGTAGAGCAAAGGAAAAAAGAGCAGCAATTCAACCATTGATAGCCATTAATAAGCTTTGAAGCTTTGAATTCGATTTTGGATTTTCAAAAAATATTATTTGTTTGAATTGGGTGTTGTTGCAAGCAATTGAAAATTCTCTCTACGTCTCTCTCTATCTCTCAATTCCTAATTCCAGTAATGTAAAGCTAAGGAAAAGAGAGCAGCAATTTCACCATTAACAACCATTAAAAAGCTTTGAAGCTTTGAATTCGAATTTGGGTTTTCAAAAAATATTATTTGTTTGGATTGGGAGTTGTTGCAAACAATTTGGAATATGGTTTGGAGTTTATATCTCAATTTTGAGGGTGTTTTGATGAATATTAGACTTGATTTTGGCTAAATTTCAGATTGAAGAAGGAGAAGAAGAAGAAGAAGAAGAAGAAGAAGAAGAAGAAGAAGAAGAAGAAGAAAAAAACATGACATACATTATAGTTACGAAATTGAAGTACAATTGTAGTAAAATTGTAGAAAAATTATATTCTATTGTAGTACAATTATAGTAAAATTTATATATTTTTTTTAATTTAACTATTGTATGAAAGTTGAACAATATTGTATAAAAATTGTATTTAAGTGATGTGATATTGAAGCTGTATATAATTAGGTAGAAATAATGTATGAAAGTTGTAGATAAGTTATAGATAAATTGTATAATATATAATTAGTTGTATGAAATTTATTTTTACTATGTATAAATCAGATACAAAATATACAAAAGACATATAGTATAAAATTTGAATTAAAAATTTTTATTTAAGTATTGTATGATTTTGTAGTTGTATTACACTCAATAGCTAAATCCATTAGCTTTTGGACACCTTTTTGTGGCGTTTCAGAAAGGAAAAAAAAACAAAGAAATGTTGACTCTCATAGGAGAAAGTTAATATAGATAACGATTTTCCGTGTTGAACTTTGAATATTTCCTAAGTGCATGCGAATGGCATCAATGCAATAAAATGGCAAAAAGAAAAATGGGTAACAGATCTGGTGCAGTGCAGTGATTGAGGAGATGTTTTTGAATGAGGAAATGAGTGATGACTGATGAGTCCTGAAATAAAGAAACAACTTTATTTGTTAGTAGCAGAAAACAGTCTTTCTTAAGGCTCAAGATTACGGCTCAAATAATGAATTTGGAGCCTTTTAAGGTGGATTGTATATATTTTGAAAACAAAACTTGTTTATGCCGGGTAATTAGCTAAACATAGACATTGAGGGTAATAAAGTTTCAAATAGTGTATAGGAATGAAAAAAGGAATTTTTACCTCCTATAGCAAAGGTTAATACCTTATTTATTTTTAATAAATACCATTTAAAAAAAAATTATATTCTATAGATACCTTTTAATGTTTATAGCAAAATATCTAATTTTGGTTACCTCCTACCCCTAAACCACTAAATACGCTATTCAGTTACACTATTTTTCTTTCTCTCTCTACTTTGATACATGCCGATGTGGGAGAGACGAATTTAAACTCTAACCCAGCCACTACATACGCTACGAGAGTGCTCACAAACAAACCTGCTCAAAATCCACCAAAAACAATTCTTAAACCTATTGAAATAGTTCATGGAGAACCTACTGTTGTGTTTACTATGGAGGAACTTGGAAAGTTCACTGTTGAAGAAGGCCTTCATCACGCTCTAGTATTAAAATTTTCGTTTGAGAGATTGGAGATGAATGAACTTCGAAAGTTCTTGCCAAAACTGCTTGGAACTCAAGGTCGTAGCTTAATTGGGTGGTTAGCGAGAAGGCACATCCTCATCAGGTTTGATTTATATGAAGATTATGTTGTTGCTGCTTCAAAAGTTGTTAATCATATGCTCGTTAATGGTGATTAACAGTTCTTTATTCTGCCACCATTGCTCGACAGCGGATTCGACGGAAATTAGGGTTTGTTCTTGAACAAAGACGACGGAGTTTGGGGATGAGCAACTTGATTTTCTATTAATATATTTCAATGTATTTTCAACGTATCACGCTGTATTTTCATGTATTTCATTGTATTCGTTGTCTTTTTTTCATTGTAATTCAATGTATCTCGTTGTATTTCATGTATTTCATTGTATTCACTGTCTTTTTTTTCATTGTATTTTAATGTATCCCGTTGTATTCTATGTATTTCATTGTATTCACTGTCTCGCTATATACCAGGAATGTATTCATATGTTTTTTAATTAATATAATTTATGTATTCGGATGTATTATATAATTTCTCTGAAGATTGCTATGTTTTTGGGGTATTTTTCGGTTGAGAATCTTTTTTACACTGGAAATATAAATTTTGTGTGTTATAATTGAGTTTGTTGAGTTATATTAGGAGTCTATTATGTTAATTGATACACTTTCCGTTTAAAAACAGTGTAATCCCCTGTTTCACGCCGTGAATACAGTCGAATACAACAATCTGTCCAACTGTAATCCCATGTTTCACGCCATGAATACAGTCGAATACACTCGAATACAACAACTGATTAGCTGGACTTCCCTGATTCACGCCTATTTTTGCTATTGTATTCATGAATACAGTAGCTTAAATACATCTAATACATCTTATAACAGAAAACGTATCTACAATCCGTAATATAGCAAATGGTATCTATAGATAGCTAATTACCACTAAAAGATAGTGCTTTATAAAAATTTCTCATGAAAAAATCCCATACCAAAACCACATTCCACAGCCCATATTCTAACCTCATATGGGCTACCCTTCCACGGCCCAATTCCGACTTTATAGCATCACTGCCATATTTTAGCATCAACATTAATGTCAAACCAGAGATAGCAAAATGATTTTTAAGAGCTGATTTCATTATTTTTTAAAGAAAAAAATTCTTTAGTTTCTGTCATACTAACTGGAGTCTAGATCAATACCATTTCCATACTCGGGGTATTCACAAGGTATATAAATCATATACAGTCATGTCATACAACTATTATTTCATAGTAATCACAAAACATCCTTTCATACAAGACAACATACAAAATGGCATCTTCCACTATGTAATTTCCAGGAGCAGAACGTGTACATACATTTTAAGAACTTCGCTACACCAAAAAAGAAAAAGACAGATAGAAGCTAATGAACAAGAGAAGTGACTTTTCTTGTATACCTTTAAGCCTGAACTGGCCAATAGGAAATTCCAAAGTGTGATTACCTCAACAAAGCAAAATGAGAATCTGTAACTCATTATCTACAGTAGTCGAGTCAACATGTCGTGCCTTCCAATCTTATTAGTCGACTTGTCAAACGAATGGCATACAAAGCGTGCAAGCTGCAGGCTAATAGCCATTCTTTCCTTTAGAAGAAAAGAATCGGCTGAAACCACGAGCTTGTTTTTCAGGTGTCGGACCAGAAGATGAAGAAGAACCAGATTTAGTAGGCCGGTGTTTCGGAGACTTTGAGCTGATTGGTGATCTCAATGGATTGTTTAAATCAGAGTCTGACGGACTATACGGCACATTGTATATATCCACAGGAGGGGACTCGGCCAAATCATTTTCATGCAAGTTCATGCTGGTGGTTGTCGGTTCTTCCCGAAAGCCCTCACCTTTTAAACTTCTATCGACGTATGGAGACCCCATAAACTCCGTCTGCGGACGCAAGGAGTTCAACTGTTTTCCAAGAAGAAATATGGTTTCTTGACACTCGGCCAGCTTCTCTGCTGCAGCTGCTAACTCTTTCTCCTGGAGAAAATCAACAGATCATCTTCTTCAGACACTCACTTTCGATAGAAAAGGGCATCAATTAAGTTAGTACAAGGATGCTAACAACAAATATATATACCAACTTGTTTAAATTACTCATACATTTAACATAAAAGTTTGCTGAAACCTGAAACCCAAAAATCAGGCGCCTAAGAACACCAAGAATATTGATTTAGAACCTATTCAGAAGAATGAAAGGTTCCATAACAGCTAATGAGACATCCAATATTTTGAAAAAGCAGGGAATTTTCGCATTCAAATTGTTTGGACTTCCTTTTAAAAGCATCCAATTTAAATGTCTAACACTGAAAGAAAACTTAGAGAGATGGAGCAAACTAAAAGAAAGTCTACTTTCTAGTAGCGATAAAACCCCAAAGAACAGAGGTAGATGCTATTTCCAAATTCAGTTGTATAGCACTACTACCACAGGAATTCAATTGTATTTAATTGAACTAATATGAAACTAGACCAAAAGTTGGGACAAAAAATTGAGAAGCACAATCTTTTTTCCCAATATGCTGTGAACTACTAATATAGGATACATCACTTCAATAGATTGGATTGATCACTCAAATAGGAGCACAAAAGCTACCTGGTTGTTCTTGGCATCAAGATCAGCAGCTGGAGAACTCTCAATCCTGATTCAAATAGAAAAAGATAATTAAGTACAGTTGAAATGCTACTTGACATAACTTCCAATTGACATTTAACTTGCTATATTTCGGTAAAGGCAACTCCGTGGAAAAAAACAAAATAAAATGCTTGTGAATAGAAACCGGTGCACTAAGTTCCTGCTATGTGCGGGGTCTGAGGAAGGGCCGGACCACAAGGGTCTATTGTCTGCAGCCTTACCCTGCATTTCTACAAGAGGCTGTTTCCACGGCTTGAACCCGTGACCTCCTGGTCACATGACAGCAATAGAAACCATGAAAAATCAAGTTTACAGAATATTATCAAATACTTTAACATGAAACACTGATGTTGAAAAGACCAAAAGTAAATCTACAGATTGGTGATGACTAGGCAGATAAAATCCAGATTATCCATTTCAGTCTTTGGACCCATTGACCCAACCAGCGGGGCAATCAAATTACTCTTGCTTTTGACGTGCCACTGTGCTGACCAGCAGGGGGATGCTACTTACGAGCTGGTCAGAGACAGGTTCCGGTCGTACCCACAAAGATCAGCTATATATTATTCAAATCACATAGTGACATGTTTCTTTTCCCTTTCCGGTGTTGCTTTCCTTTTCATTCAAAGATTAGGGGGGTTGCGCAAAATTTTATCAATGCTTGAAACCTTCAAGTAAAGTAAAGATCAATAGCTACTCTCACACTAGAACAGAACACTCGATAGGCCAAAGCATAATGCAATTACAATAACATTAAAAGCTGGCCTTAGATTATAAGATCTCACGATCAAATTTTATAATTCCAGGGCCAATGTGGAACAAGAACCACTAACCTTTGCAGTTGTTCTTCGAGATCCTTGCATCTGGCTAAAGCTTCCTCGTGACTCTTCTTTTCCTCTTGAAGCTCGTTATCGAGACTTTCTATCTTTGCCTGAAGACGGTTTACTTCAGTTTGCAACTCCTCAGTCCGAGTTTCGAGTGAATTATACGACTCTGCCATGCATTTGAGCTGAGTTTCAGCCAAACTGTTTGCCTTTTGAGCAGATACCAATTGTGACTTCACTTCTGCTAAAAGCTGCTCGGTTTCAGACAATTGAGATTTAGTGCTTTCCAAGTTCTCAGAATATCTAGCAAGATCAAGAGCCATATCCTCTTTCTCTAGTTTCAACTGTTCAAACTCCTCCAACGAGCACTTCAAAGAGGTTGATGCTGACTCTGAAGTGGGAACAAGGCTTCCTTCATGAGGAATATCTGGATCAGAAGTGGAATCAGAAAAATGAGCGCAACCATTTGCGTATCCCTCCTCTCCTGAATGCTGAAGACCTTTATTTTCTGGTAAAGCAACCTTGTCTATGCAATCAGATGTACTTATTTCTATTTCAGAATTCTTGTAGCCGAGGATATTGAAGTGTAGTTCGCTCGCATTACTCAGGACACGAGAGAGATCAAGGACAAATTTCACCATACTTAACCTGCTGCTTATTACTGCAGCATAAGTGGCAGAGAAATCATCCATTTTTTCATTTATTCCACTACCGTCTGCAGCTGTTCCCTGGACAGCCTTTGCTTCTTTTGCCAGAACAAGTACAAAGTCATGAATTTGAGACATAGCATCAGCTAATTCTTTGCTAATACCATTGACTGTCTCGTCGCATGGTTTACTATATTGTGAAACAGGAATTTCCTTTTCTATGTTTGCCTCACCATCATCATGAGAGGGCTGAGATTCAGTTGCAGTATCAGAGAAAATAGTAGTCTCAACAGTGCTCGTAGCTGATTGCGGTAGGATGGTGTCGCCCATTTCCTGCAAAATCTGTCTGAGATCCTCTTGAATTCTTTGAACGTCAGCTTCCTTTATCAAAGACTCCAAAACCATTGAAATTCTTGATTGGAGCTTCATGAATATCGATGCATCTGAAACGGATAGACGACTCGGTGTCGATACTTCCTCTTTGGGAGATGCTTGATTTCCTGATATAAGTGTCTCGTTATGTTCTTTCTGCGGAGAAGAGGTGTCAACGTTTGTAGTTTCAGGTTTTGAATTATCATCTGGACTTGAAACTGCTCCATTTGTGTCACTGGACTGATAAGCTAATTTCTCCATCTCCAAAAAGTCATCCATGAGATCCAGGTGACTTGCACTTTCAGATTTATGCGGACTGTCAAAGTTCTTTTCCTTCTTAATATGGGAGAGTTCAGCCATTGATGATGTCGTCCATGACCCAGCACAGCTAGCATTATCGTCATTTCCATCTTCAGTAGGCAATCGAACTGTGGACTTTGTTGGGCTCTTCTGTTCAACATTAGCTTGCAGTTGTGCTTCCAAACTTTGCAGCTTGCTCTCCGTCTTTGCACAAATACTCCTGGAGGCCTGTAATTCACTGTTCCGGTGTGCCAAAGCTTCCTTTAACATCTTTGTTTCCTCCTCCATTGCCAAAAGGCGTTCGGTGAGTAGATCATTCTCTTTATGGTATTTCTGCACAGTATCAAATGAAAAATCAGGCAAACTGGAAAACTGTGGACTAGAAGGCCTGCCTTGGGATTTCTTTACACGGCTATCCCCATAATCTCGACCCAAACTCTCAACTTCAAGCTTCATTTGGGCCAACGCTGCAGGCCCAGGTAACTTCTTCCGGACAAGACCACGTAATCTCTGACACTCTGCTTCCAGTTTCGCAATTTTCTTTACTCCCTCCAGGTGTTGCTTGTTTGCTACTTCTGCAGAGCGTACACTCATATTTTTCTCCTCATTACGAATTTCTAGCTCCTTTGAGGCAATATGGAGTTCATATTTCAGAGAATGTATTTCTTTTTCACATGACTCAATATTGCTCTTGAACATCTCTATTTCTGCTTCAGCTTGGGCTTTTTCTTCACTGAGCTTTATCACCATGCTAGAACGCTCCTGCAAAGACCTCGTAAGTGCGGAATTTTCTGCTGCAGACCTGAGTAACTCTTGGTCCAAGTTAGCTATCTTTGCTTCAAACTCAAGCTTCATTTTGTCAAACTGTTTGGTTTTGCTGAGAATCACATCATGCAGCTTCTGTTCGTGCTCTTCTTTCAAATTTCGTATCTGCCGCATGCACTCCTTGAGTGCACCATCCAAATGTGATGCCCGGTCTTCTGCAGTAAGCTTCAAAAGAGTGACTGATTCTAGGTGATTTTTCAGTGTCGCAGCTTCTGACTCAGCTTTCTCCCAACCTGTCCAAAGAGATGTCGTCAATAAAGAAAGTTAATAAGCTTGCTTAATACTTATAGCAACAAAAACACGTCATATAAGTAACATCACCTGAGACAGCTTCTTCAGCCACTTTAGCATGTTGCTTCACCAGGTTCTCCTTATTAGTCATTTCCGTCTGCGCAGCAGACAACTTTTCATTCAAATCCTTATTTTCATCCTCTAAGTTCTTCACTTGTTCCTCGAAAGAGTTGGCTTGATCCTCCAAAGATTTAACGTGATCCTCCAAAGACTTAACTTGATCCTCAAGTCCAGTCAAATGTGAATAAGATTCAACAGAAATTTGCACATATTTTGGTTTCTTGTAGTTATCCTGTTTACCCTGAAATATAGTGGAAATCAAAACATAAAATACAAAGATAAGATGAATTGAATGAAGCTTTCTCATAAAGTATCATTGTTATAAATTGAAAACTATGACACAAAATTCCAGAACTAAATAAAAACTTATAATTGGTCAGGTTAAACATTTAAGACTAGCATCCACCAAACATCAACTTAGATAAATGTAGTTCTTTGCTAGTATCGACCAATTAAGTAGCAAAATTTTTGTATAACTCCCCGTACGTTAAAGGTCAACATGAAAGCCGTGTTGTAAATGCAATATAAGTAGGTCAAGGAGCAAGAAGACACACCAGAAGAAAAAAGAAATTGACATGCACATAATAAACATTAGTCCCAAACAAGTTAGGGTCAGCTGCATGAATCCTCACTGATCATTTTACTACATATTTTTTCGAATTATATAGATATCAACCGACACACCTGAGATTCAGTTGAGTCTGAAGGGGCAGATGCTGATTCCACTGTAAGAGCTGCAGGTTTCTCACTTGCTGTCTTATCTGATGATTTCTTCTTCCACGGCCAACTCTTACGATCCATTGTAGACTGTTCGAAAAGGAAAATGTTGGCTGAAATCAGTTAACGAATTATTATAGAAAGAAGGAAAAAGTGAACTGTCATAAATGAAGAGCACAAAATGCATGGCAACGCTTGACAAGCGATACCACGGGGAGTAGCTTAAATAGTGGCAGAAACATGACGTCACCAACTAGTACGTAAACTTTAAAACTCATAAATCCTATATTTCAGGAACAATATAAGCTATATTCAGAAATTGTCCTCCTAATTCACTGAGATTCTGAGAATAAGCAACATACAGGAATATATCACCTCCACTAGCTTAGAACACATCAGAAATGTTGCTATACCTTGAAATTTCGGACTAAATTGGAACGGGAATTAGTCAAAGAATTAAGCACAAAACAATGAAACTGAGAATTTGCACTGCAGTGCAGGACTATTATAACCCCGTAAGATACACCTCCGGTGCACTTTTAACGCAACAAAATCAGAGTAGACAGAGCTGACAGGTAATCGAGATTTTTACAAGCAAATAAGCATAGTAATACAAGAATCTGGAACCTGGAAGATCCCAAATAGGTAAAATCAGAAATTCAATGAGAAACTGAGAATCAATGTAATACTCATATATTAATGAAAAAATTCACATCAAATGTTGGTGATAGCATTTCCATAACAAAGCCAATTATTAAGGCACAAAACTACCCCAGATAATATAAAATAGGCAAACAGGAGTAGTTAAAGATAATGACAGACCACCTTAAACAACAAAAACTAAACATGAAAATCACATTCCCATATTCTAACATGAATAAATTTTACAAAACCAGGCACTTCATCACCTACATTGCTAAAATATGATCCATGCCTTAATAATCTTTTCTCCCTTAGAACCAATATACATTGAAATGCACCCCCCCCCCCCCGACACACACACACACACCCCACAAGATTAAAAATTTCACACCCCTTATTGCAAAAATCCTTTAACCAATGAACTGCACAAGCAGAGCAAAGCTTCAAGAATCATAATAAAGCTCATATTTTTAACACCAAAATTTAAAAAAGCCACATACCCAAAACAAAGAGGACATATTACAAACTCTCTATAATTGCAAAAAAAAAAAACATAAAAATCAAATCTTGGAACTGAATTTAGAGGGAAAAAAAGGAATTTACAATTTGTCTACAAAACATGGAACTAAAAAAGCAATGAATCCCAGCAACACAACCCCAAAAATGGGTATAGAAATTGAAGTAAACCCACCGACAGAAACAGAGGTAAATGACAAGTTCATAGAACCAAAAAAAAGGAGAAAAAAGAGGAAGAGATTCAAATGGAAACAAAATTAATAAGCATTGCGTTTGCAACACAAAAAACCAAGCTAAATGGAAACAAAAACAACAAAAAGAAATTACTTCTTTAAAGTCTCATTGACACCATCATCATCTTAAGAGCAAATGTAACGGAAACAAAAAGAACAGAAATTCCGCAAATTAAAAAAAAAGTTTACTCACCAACTAGCAATGCAGCTCAAGAAAAGAACAAGAACACTATACCCCAGTAGATATTTAGTTAAATTTATAGGATCTAGTTAGTTTTAAGTGTACAATTTGAGTTCATGAAAAATAAAGTTTCAGTCTTTTTTAGTCCTAGTTTTAGAGAGAGAGTGAGGGAATTTTTAGAGAGAGAAAATGAGATCGCCGGAGGTGAAGTGAAGGTGGTGTTGGTGGGGGGAAAGAGGGGTTAAAAAAAATATTTCAACATTAGGTGTCACTTAAAAGGGAAGACGTTGGAATACTCCAAAAAATATTTTAAATGAAAAAAATTGTTAAGTTCAATAAATGAAAATAACCAAAATTATAATCTCCGGTTAGTTTATGTCTGAAGTAGATACTAGATAGAAGTAAATTAAATAGTAGTAGTTACTACCTCCGGTTCAAAATAAGTGATTTTTTAGTTGTTTTCGCACAAATTAATAAATTCACCTTTTAACATTAATTAGCAATAAAATTGACCATATTAACCTCTATTATCTCTTCACATAAATACTCCTATCACACACTCCAACACTATTTACTCCAAGGACAATGTAGGAAAAAAATAATTAATTCATTCTTAAATTCTGAAAAAATTACTTATTTTGGACCACAAAAAAAATGCTAAAAAATTACTTATTTTGGAGCGGAGAGAGTAATAAAATTCAATTACTTATTTTAGTATAGACACAAAATATGAAAAAAATATTTAATGTGGTTCTAAAGCAGGCTTGTGGCAGAAGCAAATGGGGTTGAGCTGTAAGAGAGTAATTAGGGGAAAATGGAGTCATGGGGGTGACACTAACTCTAGTTCATCTATTCCAGCTCATTACTTGGGTGCTCTGTCTATTACTATTAGGGTAATTATTCTTTTAAAATTATGATTCACTAATATTATGAATAATAATATCTGAACTACGTTATTTGGGTCGCACGCAAGCATGCTTCTGTTATGAAAGAATTGAGCTTACTGCTGAGAGTCAACAATTGACTGTGAGATTTCATCCCACAATTAAAAGATGATCTTTTTCGGGATACCAACCTAATTTAGATTCGTATCGAATAGGCTCATAGTAAATTGTTTGTTTTAGTGACTCAAATTTGATATTTATAATTAAGTATATATGGATCTCAACTATCTCAATACGTCACTAATTGGTGATATTAAGTAATGATATTCAACATGCCCATAATCTTATTTACTCGATTAAAACTACTCTAAGCCTAGGGAGTATAATTTTAAGGAAAAAGATATAGAGTGTTTCTTAGCTAAACCAACTTCTATGTTTCTTTTATGGCAGAATAGCCTGAGAGACACTTGTACTTATTCCGGTTTGTCATCCCGGTCCCTACACTTCATAAAGTTTCATTCAGGCACTTCAACTTAATCAAAACAAGACTTTTAAACCCTTCTGACCGTTGACCGAGCTTATGTGGCATTAATATGGCTGAAGTTGACAAAATGAGTGATTTACACGCACATTAGGTGCGTGTGCTGATGATTCTTTTTTATTAAAAAAATAAAAATTAATAAATAAATAAATAAAAATACACTAGCAACGCCTCCCCCTTCGTTCTGCACCNCCAACGAAAATGTTGAACAAACTCCTAATGATGACGCAAAACATTTTTATGAAGCTTTAGAGGAAGCTAGTCGTCCACTACGTAACGGAAGTTCGCATTCTGAGTTGTCTGTTGCAGTTAGATTACTTAGTATGAAATCTGATTGGAATATTTCTCAAGGAGTCATGGACTCCTTCATTGACCTTATGCGTGAACTAGTTGGCCCTCATATCGAATTACCTGGTGATTTCTACAAGGCAAAGAGATTAGTTTCTAAGTTAGGACTTTCGTCATTGAGAATTGATTGTTGTGAAGATGGTTGTATGTTATATTATAAAGATGATGCAGGTTTGGACAGTTGTAAATTTTGCGGAAAGCCTCTTTTCAAGAGGCTTTCCAGTGGGAATATGGTCGCTATCAAGTTGATGCATTATTTACCTCTTATACCTAGGTTAAAGAGGTTATATGCGTCGATGAGTGCTGCTCCTCATATAAGATGGCACTTTGAAAATAGAAGACCACCTGGTGTTATGTGTCATCCTTCAGATGGAGAAGCTTGGAAGCACTTTGATAGGACATATCCAGATTTTGCTAGTGAACCAAGGAATGTTCGATTAGGTCTGTGTGCGGATGGCTTCACGCCTTTTTCTGTATCTGCCACACCATATTCATGTTGGCTTGTCTTTCTTACACCTTATAATCTACCACCCGAGTTGTGCATGACTAGTCCATATATATTCTTAAATTGTATTATCCCCGGTCCACGTAATCCGAAAAGTTTGATTGATGTATATTTGCAACCTTTGATTGATGAGCTAAAACAATTGTGGTATGATGGTGTTGAAACATATGACATATCAACCAAGCAGAATTTCATTTTGCGTGCCAATTTAATGTGGACAATTAATGATTTTCCTGCGTATGGAATGTTGTCTGGGTGGATGACTGCTGGTAAGCTAGCTTGTCCTTACTGCATGGAAAATAGTAAAGCGTTCACTTTGAAATATGGCCGAAAGCAATCATGGTTTGATTGTCATCGTCAATTCTTGCCTCCTGATCATGAGTTTAGAAGGATGAAAAATGCATTCAAAAGGAATAAATTCGAATGTGATTTCCCACCTCTGATACTTTCAGGTGAGGAAATTTGGGAGAGGGTCCAGAACTTCAGTAAAGTTACTGAAGTTCCACCTTATAGATTCCCCGGATACGGTGTTACTCATAATTGGACGAAACAGAGTATATTTTGGGAGTTGCCGTATTGGAAGGATAATCTTCTCCGTCACAACCTTGATGTCATGCATATTGAGAAGAACTATTTTGACAATTTGTTCAACACAGTGATGGATGTTAAAGGTAAGACAAAGGATAATGCGAAGGCTAGAATGGACTTACAAGAATATTGCAGGCGGCCTGAATTATACTTGCAGACAGCAAACAATGGTAAGGTGTTCAAGCCCAAAGCAAGTTACACATTCACTTTGGAGGAAAGACGGCAGATTTGTGATTGGGTAACGAAGTTGAAGATGCCTGAGGGTTATGCGTCGAATTTTGGGAAAAAAGTTGATATGGAGGTAGGGAAGTTGAGCCATTTGAAAAGTCATGATTGTCATGTTTTCATGGAGACCTTAGTGCCTATTGCATTTTCTGGTTTGCCTGAACGAATCTGGAAACCCATCACAGAGATTAGTTTGTTTTTCAAAGACTTGTGTTCTTCCACATTAAGGGAAGAAAACCTACAACGGATGGATCAAAACATTCGTGTAACTTCTACTAAGATGGAAAAGATATTTCCATGTGGGTTTTTTGATGTGATGGAACACCTTCCAATCCACCTTGTACACGAGGCACGACTTGGAGGGCCTGTTCAATGCAGATGGATGTATCCCTTTGAGAGGTAATATTTTAGGTTTGATGTAATTTTCTGTTTTAATTTAAACAAATTTTCTTCGCTAACCTGAAATTATGTAGGACAATTGGCAAATGCAAACAATTTGTTAAGCAGAGGAATAGGATTGAAGGATCTATATGCGAAGCTTATCTTGCGAAGGAAACTGCCCATTTTTGTTCTTATTATTTTGAGAGTAATGTGGCATGTGCTAGGAATAGGCCCAACAGGCACACGGTCGACCTTAGGAATGATCCATTATATCCGCCTATGTCCATATTCAATCAACCAGGCCGATGTTCTAAGGATGTTACAAAGAGAAGTTTGAGTGATATGGAGTACAAGTCAGCTACACTTCACGTGTTGCTAAATTGTCCTGAAGTTGTACCATATCTCAAGTAAGTATTGATTTAGTAGTTATCAAAATCTAAAAATTACTGTGATTACATCTCAATGCAACTACTAAAAATATTTGATGTGTCACAGTCACTTTGTGGGTCAATTTGGCCATGATGCTGTATATACGAGATTTGATACGTGGTTCAAACAATTTGTAAGTTTCTCCTTAAAATATTCTAACACTATGTAGGTAAACAATGTTTGGAAGTTATGCTAACTTATGAATTTATTTAACGATTTGTAGGTAAATGATCCAAATAATGGTGTAAATCAATTTTTGAAAGATGTATCTTGGGGACCTGGGGTTGAGGTCACAACCATGTCTAAGTACGTTGTGAATGGTTATAAGTTTCATACAGAGGATTGCTCTAAAAATAAAAATAGCAACAACAGTGGGGTGTGGGTTCAAGGTGGTGATGGCAACCAAGATGGAGATATTGATTATTATGGTGTGCTCAAAGAAATAATAGAACTAGAATATACAGGTTGGCCAAATAAGAAATTGATACTCTTTAGATGCAAGTGGTTTGACCCACATCCAACAAGAGGTACAAGAGTACACAATCAATACAACATAATTGAGGTTAATCATACGAGGGAGTATGATCGCTATGATCCTTTCATAATTGCACATAATGTTAGGCAAGTGTATTATGCTCCTTATCCATTGCGGCGGAATAAGGCTGATTGGTGGGTTGTAATAAAAACTAAGCCTGTGGGTAGGGTAGAAGTCGAGAATGTGTTAGATGTTGCATATCAAAACGATATCTCCAGTGTTCACCAAATAGTGGACGAAGTTTTAGAAAATGATTTGGAACATCCTGAACACATATTGGAAGAAGTTGATATAGATGAAGTAAGAATTATAGAAAACGAGGAAGAAGAATCAACTGATGAAGCTCAAACTAGTGAGGAAGAAGAATTCTCGGACGAGGAACTATACGTCGATCAGCTTTAAAAAGTTGGTTTCTTTAATAACTCATGTTATAGCTAGTTTCTTTATATGTTTCAATCTAACTTTGTATTATGTCATGCAGATGTCAGGCAAGGGTCGAGGTAACAGTGATCCTACTGGTTCTCGGGGTAGAGAAAAGCCTAGGAAACAAAAGAGGAGGGTAGAAGGTACTACTCAATCCGTTCCTGCCTCTTCACAGATGCCTGTGCCTATGCCTGTGCCTGCGCCTCCACCCCAGGGCTATTCTGAGCTGCCAGCGCATGTCCAGCCCTACACCTTCGTGCAGACGCCAGGTCTTTCTTCACAGGGCCATAGGACTGTACGACCTACATACAGTCCACCTGTCTCACATCCACATAGATCGCATCCATCAGCAGCTCATGGATCGCATCGATCCATGTCACATCCACATGGATCACAGCCATCCGTGTCACAGCCACTCGGGTCACAGCTATCTGTGTCTCATCCACTTGCGGCCCATACAGCTGTGTCGCACTCACAGGGCTCGCAGTCCCAGGGCTCGCAGCCATCTTCATCTGGGACTCCATCTATTGCAGGCCTTCGCCTGCGAGATACTAGCTCTGACCCCCCTACACCTTCCACACATGCCTCCGATGTACATGCTTCGGACAATGATGCTGCTAATGACGAGGAGGTGCATTATGATGAATATGGCAGGATCATCATAGTCCCTGAGGGTGACGGGTAAGAGTTATTTGTTATTTTAACTTTTTTTGTTTAGTACAGTTTTACTAAGATATTAATGTGTTTTTTTTAATAAAATTGCAGGTTCATCCCTAGTAATGTTACTACAAGGATCATCACCAAAGCCACCAGAAAGCTTTATGATGGTCCTTATGCGACTTGGAGTGAATTCCCATTCGCTCTCAAGGAGGCAATCTTCAATCAATTTAAGGTATAAATATTCTTTTAAGCAGTATAATCATTTATTAGCTTTTAGCTAATATTATATTATAAGCAGTTAATGCACTTAACTTTTGAATAATTATTAGCTAATAAAAGCTAAGTATAATATATCGAATATAGCTTTTATGATATTTCCATCTAAATATGATATTTCCATATAATACTTGACTTTTGAAATACAGAGCAAGTGTGTATGGGAACACCGCTATAGCGCGGAAGTGGCTGCAAACTTCCATCTCAAAGCTCGAAAGCGGTTGTCCCATTGTTTCTCCAAAGCTAGGCAGTTGAACCAGAAGCCTGGCTGGATGCTTCAGGATTTATGGGATGATTTGCAAAGGCAATGGCTTACAGCAGAGTTCTTAGAGAAGAGCGAAAAAGGAAAGAAAGCCCGGGCATCTGAGAAGGGAGGATCCTTGCACACTGGAGGTGCGGTCAGCCTAGGGACGATAAAACGAAGAATGGTACGTAATTGCTTAATTTATTTTAATTTTCTTAGTATATGTATTCTGTTTATTAACTAAAATTTATGAGTTTTCAGGAAAAAAAGTTGGGGCGTCCGATGAACCAAGATGAGCTCTTCAAGGAGACTCATATTGTGAAGAAGAAGAAAGAGACGGACCAAGAAAGGTGGGTCGAGGGCCGAGCCTCGACTGTACATGTAAGTTTTCACTTTTCATTAAGAATTTTGATTTACTTTTATATAAATTTGGAAATAGTAATTCACATATTATTTTTCTTATAGGGTCGCTTCACAGCTGAAGTGGAGCAATTCATACGCAGTCAGCCACCTAATGAGTCCGGCGCGCCAATCCAACTATCGGACGAGGATGCTGAGAGAATGTGGACGCAGGCTGCTGGCGGTCCAAAAGGGGGGAAGGTATACGGGCTTCCTAATAAGAAATTCCATCGCTATAAGTGTGGAATGCAAGGAATAGAGACTTCCTCCCAAGCCGAGCAACTTGATGGGGAGAGCCTCTCCTCTATGCGGGAGACTGTGGCAAAGCTCACATCCGAGCTAGAAGCCGCCAAGGAGAGAGAAAGGCTTAGAGATATGCAGTACTCTGGCATGCAAGCTCAGTGCAAGGGCATGCAAGAGCAGATCAAAACTCTCCTAGCTTCTGGCAATTTTTCAATTCCCCGGTCTCGTGAGTCATCGCTAGAGGCTCGCCTTACCCCGTACTCATTCCCCCCGTCCTCCCCGTGGTCATTCTTCCCATCATCGAGAAATAGCCCATTCTAGATACCGTCATGGTGAAGAAAGTTCATCACACGGTGATGATAATGATGTAGAGAACAATCTTTGAACTTATAAGTTTATGCTAGACAAATACAATTGGTTTTCGAATGGTTCTGTAATAACATTTAACTTATTAGTTTGCTAATTAGCTTAAAGTATAAAGTTCTATTGAACTTTATACTTTGTTCGTTATAATTGTTGTTGTTGTTGTTGTTGTTGCTTGTTATTGCTGTTGTTGGCATATTTGCCTACTTAGGAATTTTGGTAAGCTGGCAGGTGGTGTTGCTGCCAAAAGAGGCAGTTCCTGCCAGCAACATACCAAGAAAAGCGACCAACTTTGGTCGCTATTTGGTCGCATTTCTATTAAAAAAACAATTTTCTGTGAAATAGCGACAAGGTTGGTCGCTATTTAACCCAGATTTCTCAAGTAGCGACCAAGATTGGTCGCTATTTACCAGAAAAATAACAATTTCTGGAAATATGGCGGCCAGGGTTGGTCGCTTATTAATAAATAAAAAAAATTAATTCATGTATTTAGCGACCAAACTTGGTCGCTTATTTAAAAAAATAATTAAAAAATTTATAGTATAGCGACTAACATTGGTCGCTATTTTCCAGATTTTAAAATATAATATTTCATATACAGACCAAAGTTGGTCGCTACTTCATAATTAATAAATAAATAAAAAAAAAATGAAATTTACACAAGTGAGACCAACTTTGGTCGCAAAATTTATAATATTAAAATAATATAGCGACCAAAGTTGGTCGCCGGTGTCTTTACCGGAATATTTGGTCCTTTGACTTGAGAGACCAAAGTTGGTCGCTAATTAGCGACCAACTTTGGTCCCTAAGGTAAAGGGACCAGCTTAATATCGACCAGGCACGTTTGGTCGCTTTTTGGCCAATAAGCGACCAACACTGGTCGCTTTTTGTGGTCGTTTTTTTCCGGATTTCTAGTAGTGAATGTGTTTTTACTAGAAGTACTCTGCTTTCTATGTTTGCTATGAAGTCATCCGTGTAATTAGGTACGTAGTTTATCCTTTCTTCAAAATCCATCCGTAATTTTATGTCTTTAGTACGTAAGAAATGCAAATTCATCGCTAATGAGAGCTGTTTCTGGTTAAATCTGCGACGATATAAATCATAGGACATCGGTAGTGTTGCTATTGCATAAGTATGATTTTTTCTTTTTCAAAAAAATAGAATGTTCGATTATCGTTGTGTATATAATTATAATGTAAGCGGCTTACATGCACGTTCAATATGAAAGATTCAAAATTTGGTCGAATGAAATTATATTGGAGATGACACTGAGTCTGTCGAAAGCCTTAACTTTATACTAGTAGTGGTTGACTTTCCTTGAGAAGAAAAGGGATAGTATTATTTTACATAATAAATTACAAGAACTTGAAAACAAAATGCCGACATTAGCCGGATTGGCCGGCAATGTGTAAAATATATAAGGCCAAATTATCACATAAAAGGTATGTAATTATTTACATCATAACTTTGTAAAGTGAGCATTTGAAGCAAATATGTGTTTTAACGTGAAGAAAGAATTGACAAAAGAAGAAGTGAAGGAGAGGAAGAAGAGAAAGAAGGAGAAGGGAAGGAAAGAAGAGGAAAAGAAAGAGAAGGAAAGGGAGAAGAAGCGAAAAGAAGAAGAGGAGAAGGAGGAAAAGGAAGAGAGGAAAAGGAAAGAACGGAAAGAAAAAGAGAAGAAGAAACGTGAAGAACAGAAGCTCAAGGAAAAGAAAGAAAAAGACAAGCAAAAGGCTAAGAAGAAAAAATGAGCTTTAAAAATGATTAATTCTTCTTCTTTGTTTTCCATATTTTTTTTTGCTGGTATGAATGTGCAAATGTATCATGCTAGATGGGGATTCATGTGAAATAAAACATATTATGAATTTGTCGGAATTAGAATCAGATATCAAAATTCGTTTAGCTTTTATCTAATTTCTCTACCTTTACCTCCTTAATTTCCATCCAAATGCTGTTGAATTAAAGGTTAGTGAATGGGAAATGGAGGAAAGAAAATGGAGAGAAAGTGAGTTTCGTTTTGCTTTGAAAAGAGCAAAGTGCCCCTCATTGATGGTGGAAAGAAAAGTGAATGTACTTATATTGAGAAAGCACTTCTCTTGGTGTTAAATAGGTTGGAAAGAGAGTAAGTCTCGTGCCGCCGTCGTCGTCGCTCGGCCTCGGCCTCGAATTTGGTCAAAGATTGATGGATTAAACCTTTTGGACAAAATTAATATGCCTTGATCCCAAAATCTTTCCTTACGAAATTTCCTAATCTTCTTCTTCTTATGCACAAAAATATTCCAGTGTGTTTCACAACCATTGAGTGGTTCGAAGTTCATCAGAGTTTTTGGTACCAATACCCTGGTGAGTAAAATTGTTCTATCCTGGGAGGATAATATTCCAGCACCTCGGGTACTTGAGGGGAATAATTTCCTTAGGGACACACTGTGGATTCAGTGGGCTCCATTTATTCCGAAATTATGTTATCGACATTCTGTTGCTACTAACTTTCTGTTTCTGTTTTCTATTTCAGAAAGTTTACTGTTTTTTTATTTATTATAGTAATACAGTTTGACTAACAATCTTAAGGAAATTATTTTATTGTAATCTGTATTTTGTTTTTGGAGATTAAAACTTGTGTGGTTTTCTACTCCTTCTGAATTTTTATATTCTGATTTGAAGATATAAAAACTTTTTCGGAGTGTTAAAATTCAAAAACGACTTGAAGAACATAAAAATTTCATCATTCTCTGTGAAATAGTTTATAAAAGCTTTCGTTTTTATTAATTAAACGTACTGTTTATCATTAATTACAATACTGTTTATTGTTCTGTTCTTTCCCATTAATTGAATTCTTCTGTCGTTAATAGTGAGAAATGGCAGTTGATAATTGAAATCCTTCTGCGACTATTGCAGCAACGACGATAGCCTCGTCAAACCGAACTGATGTTCCACCGGCCGAGAAATCGGAAAAATTTTCTGGAGCCAACTTCAAAGGATGGCAGCAAAGGGTGTTTTTCTGGCTTACCACGCTTGGTATGCAGAAGTTCACTAGTGAAGACCCTCTAGTGCCTACCGCCGACATGCCGGAGAATGAGAAGTTTATGATTGTTGAGGCGTGAAAACAAGCAGACTTTCTTTGCAAAGGCTACATTCTAAGTGCTTTGGAAGATGACTTGTACAATGTCTACAATTCTGTGAAAACTTCGAAAGAATTAAGGGATGCACAAAGAAGTACAAGACTGAAGATGCATGCTTGAAAAAGTTTGTGGTTGCCAAATTTCTAGACTATAAAATAATAGACAACAAAACTGTTGGAACCCAAGTTCAAGAGTTTCAACTGATTTATCATGACCTTATTACTGAAAGTATGGTCATGAATGAAGCATTTCAAGTGGCTGCAATGATTGAAAAATTTCCTCCTTCGTGGAGAGATTTCAAAAACTATCTTAAGCACAAGCGCAAAGAAATGAAGTTGGAAGATCTTGTGATTCATCCCAAGATTGAGGAAGGCAACAAAACAGCCGAGAAGAGGTCTCGTTGAAATTCAACGATTATAGGAGCTAATATCTTATAGGAGTTTGCTCCAAAAAGTAAGAAGAGGAAGAGGTCTTCTAGAAAGACTAAGGAGCAAAACAAAAAGAAATTCAAGGGGAACTGCTACAATTGTGGAAAATCCGGTCACAAAGCCCCTGACTGTCGTCTCCTGAAAAAGGATAAAAAAAAGGGACAGGCCAATATAGTGGAGAAGAATGATGAGATTAATGATCTGTGTGCAATGCTTTCGGAATGCAACCTAGTTGGAAATCCGAAGGAGTGGTGGATTGACTATGCAGCCACTTGACATATTTGTGCTATCAAAGAAACATTTGGGACTTATTCTACTACTGGTCCCGAAGAAGAGCTTTCCATGGGAAATACTGCAACAACCAAGATTGAAGGTTATGGGAAGATATTCCTGAAGATGACTTCCGGCAAGTTGTTAATGCTCAACAACGTTCTGCATGTTCTGACTATTAGGAAGAATTTAGTTTCTACTTTTTACTTGTTAAGAATGGATTCAAACGTGTATTTGTATCTGAAAAAATTGTTGTAAGCAAGAATGAAATGTATGTTGGAAAGGGCTACCTCACAGAGGGCCTTTTCAAACTAAATGTAATGGTTGTTGACAGTATGAATAAAATTTCAGCTTCTTCTTATTTATTGGAGTCAAATGATTTATTGCATATTCGTTTAGGACATGTCAATTACAAAAGCTTGTGGAAGTTAATTAATTTAGAAGTATTGCCTAAATTCGAGTGTAACAAATCAAAATGTCAAATATGTGTTGAATCTAAGTTTGTAAAACATCCTTATAAATCTGTTGAAAGGAATTCAAATCCTTTAGACTTAATTCATACTGACATTTGTGATATGAAGTTGACACCATCTCGAGGTGGGAAAAAGTATTTTATAACTTTTATTGACGATTGTACTCGATATTGTTATGTTTATTTATTTAATAGTAAGGATGAAACAATTGAAGCATTTAAGCAAAACAAGAATGAAGTGGAGAATCAATTGAATAAAAAGATTAAAATAAAGATGGGATAGGGGTGGAGAATATAAATCTCCGTTTGCAGAAATATGTCCGGAATACGAAATTATCCATCAAACTACTGCTCCCTACACACCTCAACTCAATGGAATTGCGGAAAGGAAAAATCGTACATTAAAGGAAATGATGAATTCTTTATTAATAAGTTTCGAATTACCGGAGAGTTTATGGGGGGAAGCTATCCTTACAACTAACCGAATACTCAATAGAGTACCCCACCACAAAACGCAATATATTACATATGAAAAACGGAAAGGAAGAAAATCCAACTTGAAATATTTTAAAGTGTGGGGGTGTTTAGCAAAGATACAGTACCTTTACCCAAAAGGGTAAAAAATCGGACTAAAAAATGTGGATTGCATTTTCATTGGATATACTACAGACAGTAAAGCATGTCGGTTTTTGGTTCATAAATATGATAATCCCGAAATTCAAGTTAATACGGTAATTGAATCAGATAATGCTGAATTCTTTGAAAGCATCTATCCGTATAAAGTTGAATGTGAGTCGTTAAGTGAAAGACCTAAACGACCACGGGAATAACCAAAGGAAAATACTCCAAGTAAAGAAGATCCAAGGAGTAGCAAACGTCAAAGAACATCTACTTCCTTTGGACAAGATTTTGTGACATTCTTGCTTGAAAATGAGCTCAAACTTTCAAAGCAGCTATGTCATCTTCTGATTCAACATTTTGGAAAGAGACAGTCAATAGTGAGATTCAATCAATTTTGGATAACCATACATAGGAATTGGTTGATCTTCCTTCAGGAAATAAGCCTTTAGGTTCGAAATGGATCTTTAAACGGAAAATGAAAGCTGATGGCACTATTGACAAATATAAGACAAGACTTGGAAAGGTTATAGACAAAAGGAAGGCCTTACTTTGACACTTACTCGCCAGTAACGAGGATAAAATCTATTAGGGTGTTAGTGACACTGGCGGCCGTGTATGGTCTAGAAATCCATCAAATAGATGTTAAAAAAACTTTCTTAAATGGAGAATTGGAGGAAGAGATTTACATGGAACAACTTGAGAGTTTTGTGGTTTCGGGTAAAGAAAAGAAAGTGTGCAAACTTGTTAAGTCACTTTATGGACTTAGACAAGCACTCAAAAAATGGCATGCTGAATTTGACCAAACATATTGGCAAGTGGGTTTAAAATCAACGAGTGTGACAAATGTGTTTACATTAAAAGCACTCCAGGTCATGAAGTCATTGTTTGTTTATATTGATGACATGTTGATAATAAGCAAAAATATGGCAGATATAAATGCTACTAAGCGCATGTTGGATAGCAAATTCGACATGAAAGACATAGGAGTTGTGATGTGATATTAGGAATCAGAATTCACAAGACTCCACAAGGTCTAGCATTATCACAGTCTCATTACATTGAAAAAGTACTTGACAAGTTCAAGTATTTGGATTTTAAAATTGCCAAGACTCCAATTAACGTGAGTTATGCATTTCAAAAGAATGAAGGTGAAAGTGACTCACAACTGGACTATGCTAGAGTATAGGGAAGTTTGATGTATATCATGAATTGTACGCGACCAGATATAGCATATACTATTAGCAAACTGAGTTAGTTTACAAGTAATCCCAATCAAATACATTGGATATGCTCTGCATTATAACAAATATCCCTCCGTGATCGAGGGATATAGTGATGCAAATTGGATCACCGGATCATCTGAAGTTAAATCTACTAGTGGATATGTTTTCACAAATGGGGGTGGAGCAGTGTTTTGGAAATCATCCAAACAAACGTGCATCGCCCGTTCTACAATAGAATCTGAATTCATAGCTTTAGACAAGGCCGGTGAAGAAGCTGAATGGCTCTGGAATTTCTTGAAAGATATTCCATTTTGGCCCAAACCTTTGGCACCTATATGTATACATTGTGATAGTCAAGCGACAATAGGCAGAGAGATAGCGTTATGTATAACAGAAAATCTCGTCACGTACGACGGAGACACAATACCGTTAGACAACTACTCTCTAGTGGTGTTATCTCTATTGACTACATAAAGTCAAGAGATAACGTGTCGGATCCACTTATAAAAGGCCTATCTGGAGAAGCAGTTGAAAGATCATCAAAGGGAATGGGGTTAAGGCCTAGGACAAGTCATCATGGCGGTAACTCTACCTAGCAAACCGGAGATCCCAAGAGTT